CTTGCAGGCTCGGGCTGCCTCCGCAGCAGCAGCAGCATCAATCACACCACACAGCAGCGCCCACGCACGGGCGGAGCGCACACAGCACAGACTCACCCACCAGAGCGGAGAGGAGCTCGACTTTGTTCGAGTTGCGAAACTTTCTGAGAAGCAGTCGGTCGTTACCAGACGTTATTGTTGTTGTTGTTTTCCGGGATTGTATGTTGTTCATTTGCGAGAGGGTGTCCCGAAAAGGATCAGGATGAGCTACGCCATAGACTCCCTGGCTACGCGGAGATTTGTCGCGCAGGAAAGGTTCATGCCAAGCTTGCAAGTTGCAGTCGTAGGCTATACATACACATGTACGTGTCAGTGCGGTGAGTACAAACAAAATGGAGAATGCTTGCCTACCAAGCGGACGTTCGCAGTAGATATATAACTGCTCGCGTAGATTTTACAAGCTGCGCACGAACAACGCGTGCGGTACTATGCGAGGTAATTACATTATCAAGTGTAATATAGTTATGTGAATACTACTACGCGCATCGTGACTATTCCAAATGGGACGAGCAGCTCTGGGAGGCTGCGACGCAGCGATGTACGTGTCCTGATTACGTGTGGGGCGGTGAGTGATATGCTGGTAATGCACTTGGGTTAGGCTAGAACTAGAAACTGGGTTAGTAGGGCTCATAGGGTCTATGTCCCCCAGGGTACTGCCGGAACGTACCCTGGGTACGGTCCGGTATACCGGAACGTACCCTGGCCACTATTTGATATGGTTAGGGTTAGGATTAGGGTTAGGGTTAGGGCTAGGGTTGGGGTTAGGGTTAGGGAGTAGGCGTAGGCGACTCCCTAGACTCGTTAGTGGAGTAGGCGAGGTACAGTCCGGCATATTAGATAGTACCAGGGTACGTTCCGGCTGTACCCCGGGGGACATAGACCCTCTCAGCGTTAGTAGGCGGTCTGAATACGGCCTAAACTAGCTCCTTTTCCAAAGTGGCATAGGCACCTATGCTTGTGGTTATGCAGACGCGCAGATGCTAAATTCTCGTCTTAATTCTCAAGAACGTTTATTTCTCTGTTGCATTCTAGAATTCTACGTGTAAGTATCGTACAAATACTCTGATACGTTTCTGATTTCAGACTGGGCGTGAGTAGTTGCCTTACACTAGCCACACATCTGGGTCGTATATCCATCGTACACGTGTGAAGACAAAGAGTGTCAATCAACAATACACGCACACACACGTCCAAGGACAGACCTACAGCAGCAGATAAAGCAGTAAGCTAGCGCGCGCGAGTTCACCGCGCCGATACGCGCGTCGACCGACGAACAAACAAACAAAGATGGCGGCGTTCATATTTCCGGGACCGGCGCTGCTGCGCTCGAACACGGACCCAGGCCGATCCGTCGTCGACGTCGAGCCGGACGAACGCGCCGCGTCGGATCACGCGTTCCGACACCGCCTCGTCTGGAAGCTGTCCGTCGTGCAGGTGATCCTCGGGGTCGCTGCGATCGTGCTGGGGGTCGCGCTGCTGGCGTTGGGCAGCGACGGGCTGCGCGCGGGCGCCGGCGTCTGGTGCGGCGCTGTCTTCCTTGCGACGGGCGCCGTCGGCGTCGCCGGGATCCGTGCCAGCGGCGGCCGCCCGCCCGCCAAGATGGCCGTCGCGCTGCTCGCGTTCATGTGCGTGCTGTCGGCGCTGCTCTGCGTCGCGCTGCTGCTGCTGTCCGTGTACAACACAGGCGCATGGTGCTGGGGCACGCCGGACGCCGTCGATCGGCTCGGCCGGCTGTGCCGCAGCGACGCGAGTCTCTTGGGAAAAGCGCTCAGCATGTGCCTGATCACTGTTGCCGCCCTGGAGGGCTTCGTCGCATGCTGGTGCGCGTACCTGTGCTGTCGCGACGCCTTCTGCCGGCGCCCGCCGCGCGCCGCCGCCGCCAACAACAAGCCGCTGCAGGTGTACTACTCCACCGCGCCTGCGCCGTGGCAGTACAACAACCAGGTGGCGCCACCACCTGCACAGAAATACAACAAGCATGGCGCCAACGAATACGACGGGCAACGTTACGGCAACAAGTACGGCAACCAGCAGCGCAACAATGTGTATGCCGAACAGCAGTGTAACAACAAACGCGAACGCCAACAGCACGCCGGCGAATGTAGCGGGCAACGTTACGGCAACAAAAACGGAGACCAGCAGTATAGCAATGAGTATGCGGGGCAAAGATATGGCAGTAACGAATACGGAGGTGGAAGCAATACCCAGTGCTATGGGATGAATTACAACAACCAGTTCCCGGCGACGACCGGGAAACAAGTGGCGCCGCCATTTTTCTATCAGCAGCAACAGGAGCCACATGATGCACCAGGTCATACTCAGGTCAAATATTGACTGTAATATCCACATATGATGCTTCAATACGAGTACAATTGATATTTATACCCCCGATGATAAATCAAATGTAGGAAGTTACTTCCCGTGTTTGTTGTGCCAAGTTTCTTATCATACAGTGTTGATCACCTAATAATGAGAATTTAGGTTTATATGTGAAAAAAACTATTAATGAAGTAATGTAGATGCTGAAATTAAATCTATGAAGACTACATTGGTTTTTGTTGTGCCAAGCTTCTCATGATAGTGTAGATCACTTAATAATGAGAATTAAGGGTATGTGAAAAAAACTGAAAGAATTAAATCATTGAATTAGAATCGGTTGAAACAGTATAAAAAGTATAACTTTATAACAGTATAAAAATTCCAAACCAGTATAAAAGTTCGAAAACAGTATATAAAAATTCGAAAAATTTGATCAGGATACACGTTTTCAAGATTGATAATTAAACTCGGAACGTAAGTAAACACTCTAAATAGTAAACAACGCCATCTCGCGACATACTGCCAATTTATCTGTGAGATATTTGTGCAATAAAATTTATTTGAATTTGAATTTGAATTTGACAGACAGTATTCACTTGCGTACGTGTGAACGCGCCGACTCAAACCGGCCCGAGCCAAATTTGGCCCGAGCCAAATCTAGCCCATTTGGCTCGAGCCAAATCATGACCGTGTGAACGCGACTTTAGTCAGTCGAGGTCAATGTCGGATATTACTCGTGTTTACGTCGCACCTCCAGTTCCGGTAAATATCCGCTGGGGCCACAGCAGGCTGTGCCGGATACCAGGTTGCCATCGCAACAGGCGTGACTGACGGTGTCGTAGACAGTATCCTCGCAGCAATCGTTGCGACCGTCTAACTCGGCTACACTGTCGCCGCAGCACATATGAGTGGCCGGATCGTAGGTTGAGGCGCTGCAGCACGACGTGCCACTGCCGACTACACCCTCGCAACACACCTGTGTGGAATAGAGAGTAGAGTGTAGAAGATAGAGAGTAGAGAGTAGAGAGTAGAGAGTAGAGAGTAGAGAGTAGAGAGTAGAGAGTAGAGAGTAGAGAGTAGAGAGTAGAGAGTAGAGAGTAGAGAGTAGAGTGTAGAGGATAGAGAGTAGAGAGTAGAGGATAGAAAGTAGAGAGTAGAGGATAGAGAGTAGAGAGTAGAGGATAGAGAGTAGAGAGTAGAGGATAGAGAGTAGAGAGTAGAGGATAGAGAGTAGAGAGTAGAGGATAGAGAGTAGAGAGTAGAGAATAGAGAGGAGAGAGTAGATGATAGAGAGTAGAGAGTAGAGAATAGAGAGTAGAGAGTTGAGAATAGAGAAGAGAGAGTAGAGGATAGAGAGTAGAGAGTAGAGGATAGAGAGAAAAGAGTAGAGGATAGAGAGAAGAGAGTAGAGAATAGAGAGTAGAAGATAGAGAGAAGAGAGTATATATAGAGTAGAGAGTACATAGAGAGAAGAGTGTAGATGATAGAGAGTAGAGTGTAGATGATAGAGAGTAGAGAGTAGAGGATAGAGAGTAGAGAGTAGAGAATAGAGAGTAGAGAGTGTATAGAGAGTAGAGAAAATATAGAGAGTAGAGAGGATATAGAGAGTAGAGAGTATATAGAGAGTAGAGAGTATATAGAGAGTAGAGAGTATATAGAGAGTAGAGCGTAAAGGATAGCGAGAAATAACTCCACTAAAACTGCGCACACACTCGTGGACGTTGCACGACTGAATCATTCCAAAAATCATTCCGAAAAACGCAAATATAGTACATCGACATTGTTATTCAACAGCGAACGATTAGCGTTATCAAACCACACACAAACCAATTTTGCAATCGTATATTTTATAGAGTAAAAATCGTAATAGATGTGGTAAGTAGTAGTAGTAGTATAATCAGGATATAATGAGTCAATAAATATAAAAGTAAATGAATAAGTGAGTATAATAAATAAGTAAATCGGCATTTTAATTCAATTAAGCAACAAACGTCTGTGATATCTATAACCGCACGCAACCTGAATCTCGGGGTCATACACGCTGTTGCCGCAGCAATGCTGGACATCGGCGACAGAGCCGCCACAACACGTGTGTGTCTCCGCAAAGTAAGGCCCCGCACCGCAGCAGCCGTCGCCTGGCCCTAGCTTCCCGTCACAGCACACCTGCAAGAGCAGCACGCGTCAACAGTGTTGTTATGTAAGGGAAGTCAGAGTTCAAGGACAGGAGTTCTTATGATGAGGGGAAAACTGCTATGATGACGCTTGTAAGACGCACGACGCTCATGAAATGGAGAGATAGAAGAGAAAAGAGAGAGAGAGAGTAAGAGATAAAAGAGAGAGAGAGAGAGTGACCACCACACCATCTGGTGGTCAAAACTGATTAACATCAGTTAGCTTTGAGAAAGCTTCCTGACAGGAGGCGAAACGTCAGCGGTACGTTTCATACCAGCACGGTTGAGTAACAATTAACTTGGTTATTTATATTATTCTACCAACCGAATGAACTTATTCAATGAGAAGATAGATACTGTTGCTGTATGCATTTAGTCCATGCGCGAATGAGAGTCAGCTATCACCTATCAGCACAAGATTAATAATAAATGCGTGAATAAAATATACACAAGGATAGCCGAACAAAAAAATCTTATTAACCAATTATTTTATTGGTAAATATAAAAACATGCCATTGGTAAATTTCATGTATATTTCGATCAATAGATCGATGCGATCTAATGACTACTGATACTCTGTTACTATTTTAAGCCATCTATTTTAAATTAATAAGATGTAATTTGTTTATAAGACTTAGTAACAGTATGCACTACTTTATACGAAGTTTAGTGACCAAACCATTCTATACTCTATCATAACAGGATGACTTACTACAATAACCACACCGATTACAATATCTGCTATGGTTGTTATTACGTCATCCTTACGTTGTTATGTTCTACTTAGCATGTTGTCAACAATCACTTGTTGTCACGTTGTCGCAGTGTTGTCATGTTGTCGCGGTGTTCTCACGTTTTCATGCTATTGCCGTTTTGTCGCGTTATTGACATATTGTCGCGTTGTTGTCACGCTGTCCTACCGTTGCCCTTACGTTTAACCCTCCTCAAATATAACTGAGTGGGAGAACAAGACCGCGCATTCTTCTCGTGATTGAGTGTAGGACAATACGTTAGGGAATAGCGTTACCGCAGCACTGCAGGTCGCGCTCTTCCCCGTACACCACCGTGTCGAGTCCGATTCTCTCATGCAGCACCCCATCGCAGCACATCAGCAGCTTGGGACTGTAGCCGCGTGTCCCACAGCACAGAGCGCCGGAAGTGATTACGCCCTGACAGCACACCTCGCCCGCATCCGGATCGTAGTGGGTGAAGCCGCAGTACGGATACGGCGAGAAGTACTCCTCGTCTGCGATGTCTGCTCCTATCTCGCACGATTCTCCCGTGCACACCTTGACTAGTTCGTCGTCGACACACTCCTGTGTAATGGTATCGTCATAGAGCAAGGAGTGAGCGAGGAGGGAACCTGGCCGCGAGGGGACCGACTATAACAGACAAGTCTTTGATGCGAAGAATAATATATTTTTGTCGCATAACCGACTGCAATATTTACATAATCACTAATTTATTTTTCATTACTACGAAGATATTGATATTTTTTAGAGAAAGAGTATTATAGTTTGTCAGTTACATAATGCGACATGCATTGTTTGTCCACGTTTCTATAGTCACATGCATATCCACTTGTTCCACTTCTGATCTTTTCCATAGAATAACAAATCTATATCTCACATTACGCCCAAAAAATCATAGGCAATGTCACCAGCGTTGCGACAACAGCAACTAACAACAGTAACAAGGCACTATAATAGTAATCGTATTTCGTAAATAGAGCGTCCCGCTTTATCGGGATACGTCGAAAACCATGAAAGTCCCATCTAAGCGGTGTTCTCGATTAAGCAGTGAACACGTAACAACGTGCGCAAGGGTTGTTTATTAAAGACATGCAATGCGTCTAAGCGATGCGCCCGTTTATCCGAGGCCCGATAAAGCGGGGGAGGTCGTTGCAATACCTGATTAGCTGGGTCGTAGGCATCGGCGCCACAACACTCTAGTCCAGGTGTAGCTTCGTGCACCTGTCCGTCGCAGCACAGGTTTGCTGTCGTGTCGATGACCCGGTTGTCACAGCAGGCTGTCACGCCGTCGGTGAGACGCTCTTGCAGGTTGTCATGACAACAGATGTGTGTCGTCGTGTCGTATGCTACGTCACCACAGCAGCTGTCCCCGAATGCGACCTGTCCGCTACAGCACACCTACCCGCACGTACGTAGAATTAATTATATATACTGAAAGAATTAAATCATTGAATAATATGAAGACTACATTAGTTTTTGTTGTGCCAAGCTTCTCATGATAGTGTAGATCACTTAATAATGAGAAATACGTTTGTGTGACGTTATTATAAACCTTGCAGTGTTGAATAAATGTTGAATAATGTTGGTATAGATTGTATTCAGCTGTGCTGGGGAGAGGGGCAAGAGGGTAAACTGTCCAAGGCAATTACTCAGAACTCAAACGGCCTTGGTTTGCCCTCTCCATGTCATGGCAAAATGAGTTAGCTATGGCTCTATGAAATGAATCTCGCTTGCAATGTAAATAATATAATAGCATAAAATTTGAAAAGTACGTCTATTACGGACATTTTATTATTCGTATTACAACGCGACTTACAAAAGGACAGATGGATGCATTTCAGCAGGTTGCAGATTGAGCGACATCTTAACCTCCTCAAGTGTGATGTGCTTAATTTTCCTTTCCGGTCTTTTCGCGACGAGTTTTCCACACGTGAACATCTTTCTCACAACGTTCCTTACCTGCGCGTCGGCTATTACGCATACCAGTGGATCTAGAATGTGACAGAATCTGGTGGCAATGCCTGCGGTGAGTGCCAGTGTGGGGTGTACTGTGCGTGGGTCTCCCGAAAACACGACACCGAACCAAATGGCAAAGTATGGCAGCCAGGAAAGCAGATGTGTTTCGATGAGCGTCATGCATACCTGAAAGAAAACAGATTCAGTAACCGTTCTGAGATTATGTACACATGTTATCGGGTTTTTGTGCAACATACGCCTATGCAATACATATGTACATGTTTATGTTAGTTATTCGGGCTCATTTTTTGGTAGAATAATGATTATATATATATCCGTCCTATATTATTACGTTAATAAAAGCTCATATTCAACAAGAGAAATGAGTATTCTGATAGACTATAGTATTGGTAATTTGTTATGTATATTGTATAGGCACTGCACATACAATTTTCCTTTACTTTACATTCCATTACTTTACTACAGTCCACTTTAATTTGCTTCACATTACATTTGATCGGAATACAGCCATACTCATACTGCGATGACGCCGTAGTAACTGTAATGTAAGGTAATGACTTTTCACGAAAGCGTTACAACGGCCTCGATCCCGCATTATATAGAGAGTCAGACGGAAAACAAGTTATTTGCTCGTGGAAAAGAAATCGTGCACGAACGAATACGTCTGTACTGTGTACAGACCTTCATCAGAGCTTCATCTCTGCCGGAGTGAAACAGCTCGGGCGCGGGATAGCTTAATCTCCAGAACCTCTTACGAATACAGGCGCCGACACAGAACGTCGCAATGATGAGCGGAAGAGCGATGTTAAGCAGACTGTAGACGGACAGGAAGCTGACGTACGTCACATCCGCCGGCTGCTGCCAGTTGATCGAGCAGGTGAAGTTGGCCGGTTCGGGCACATACCTACAATGTCGGTGTGTAGAACGAGACCATGTATGATCGCGCTGCATATATGTGTGGCTACGATAAATTGTGAATTACAGGGCATTTAACTCACGTATTTCTCACGTTTATCGCATTGCCTCGTCAAATTTTGGCATCAATAACAAGAAATGTATACGATCTCGATCGATCTACTTTATCTTGAGCTTTTTCATAAGATCATTCAACAGGTGATGCACATTATGGACATGCATTTCGATTAGATCGTAGCTATATGTATAGCCGTGGACCTTAGAGGTGCGACACATCCGGGTAACCGGGTTTATAGTAGCTGTATTGTGGTATACATCCCCCCCATAGAAAACGGCCCCCACAACATTGCGCATAGCAGTGGGCGTGTCTGGTGGAGCGCGTCATAACTGTGACCTGTTAGTATCTCTATATACTAACAGTTAACAGTTGGTTAGTATTAATAGAGACCAAGGTGACAGAGATCAGTTACTGTGACTTGGATTTGACTTCTATTGACCATGCGCAATATAGAGGGGGCGTTTGACACAGGGGGATGTTTATCATGATACGACGCCGGTGATTATAGGTCGGTGGTTATTAGCTCGCTATTTTACTACTCTCGGTTTTTTACGGTCGACTATTAATCGCCTATTAATTCCAGTTGCTTTTAGTCGTAAAAGATTTATTTGCGAAGGCAGAGGCGCCGCCCGATCTGGGAAAGTCTGAGATGTAAAGCTCGTGAGTTGTTGGAATACGCGCACTGAGTAATTCCAGTTAACGTGGCATCAAGCTTTGTTATGTTTGCCGGTGTCGATACGTTTTAGCTGCATAGGATAATTAAGTCCGTCTTTATAAGTGTGATAATTTATCGGTAAAATAGCGGTAGTATACGCGTAAAAAGAAAATAGATGAAGTTGTGACACGTGATTGTTTGTGGAAAATTTACATCGTTAAGCAAAGCAGGCTTATAGTTAACAATCTTATCCGATGAATCTATATATGAACAATCATATTTAAAAAAGTTTGTTTTGAATCCATGAGTTTGAATGATGTAGTGAGTGTATTAGTTATTTTCATGTACTCGATCCATGCTCTGAAAAACATAGGGTAGCTACTGCCCCTATCATAATTAATCACTATTGTTATCCTAGTATTTGCTAGTATAATATTGCTCGCTATCCTGCTATGTATTCTTACTCGCCCCAGCCTAGAGGTGGTAGCCATGCCCACAGTGCTGCCATTATCCACACTGCGATCATAACGTAGGAATACAAGTAGTGATTGATTTTCCCACCTGAAACGCGTAGAAAGATAGAAGTACGTTCATGATTACAATGCAGTAATGTAGGATAGAAATGAACGAATGGACGAACGCAAGAGCGAATGAATGAACGAACGAGGGAACGAACGAGTGAAGAAACGAGCGAGAGAGCGATCGAACGACCGAATAAATGAATGAATGAATAAATGAATGAATGAATGAATAGATAAATAAATATATATATATATAAACAAAATAAATAACTAACCAACTAAATAAATAAATGTAGTTATTTCACTTACTTAGTTTTCAAAGCCGTATTAATGCGGCTAACTGCGATGCAAATTTCTCTATATGAAAACATTTTGAAATCATTCAATGAATCTTGAACGGCAAATCTCCGATTTCTGCAACGATTGTTTCTTGAAAAAACTTTCGTGACCTACCATGATCCCTAGAGCAGTAGATTATGTAGCGATCGATGGCAAACATGGCGAGGTAGGCAAAACTTGCGCAGAGAAAGATGAAATCGCTGAACGCGTATATCTGACATATTATTGGGTGTTGAAGCCAGCTGGAAAAAGCGCGCGGTGCGCATGCGCGTTGATAGCATGGGTAAACGTAGAGGCTCATACACATGAGAATTATACGTTAGATAACATGCATGTAACTTTTAATATTAAAGCGCATATGTCCGTAACGCGACGGAAATGCTGTTACGGATCTGTTGACGAAAATGAGAGGCGATAAATATGAACGGAAAAACGCAATGCCGAAAAACATTTTTGGTCTAATGAGTTTTTTTCTATAATATGTAAACGGTATGTTCTTCATTCATACTCATTTGAAACTCTTTGCAGCTAAATTCCCGCACAGTCATTCGTACCCACCATAGGAACTCTATCCGCCATAGGGAGAGCAAATTAAGGGCTGGCTACACGGGTAGAAATCACGGCTAGGGATACTTATACAAAGCAAAAAACGCGTGGCAACTCACGTTGTTCCCATGATAGCACCGACGGAGAGAGGCGTCTCTACAACTTCCATTCCGACGTTGCATATAAGAATGTTGACGATGATCATATACGTGGGAGAGAGAGCGCCGATAAACTTGATCAGGGCGACAAGGAGCGGGATGCTCAGTAGTAACGCCGCTATGCCTGTATAGACAACAGAATGTTATGCAAGATGTACTACGTTCAGTTTAGTTTGGTTTAGTTTAGTTTTAGTTTAGTTTAATTTGGTTTGGTTTGGTTTGGTTTGGTTTAGTTTAGTTTAGTTTAGTTTATGTTAATTTGTCATATCATTACCTACAACTGTTACATACAGTTAGAGTAAACGCATATCTATAATGAGCAATTATGAAGAGGATAACGTTTATGAGTAAGATAATATCTTATAGGTTATTACCTTACTTGGTGATATATTACTAGCGTCTACTAATTATTGGCGAGCCTTTGAAAATAATCGATATAATCGATATCGAGCATATTTTCACCGTGTAAACTAGAGATAGGTGTATCAGTATCATGTGGAGCAGGTTATAAACAATTGAAGACAGCAAGTCTGCATGAAGAAGGCCACGTGCACGCCAATGATTATGATACGAATACTGTCGCGCGCAGACATTTTACGTGCATAGTTTTACGTGCATTTTACGTATAGTTATTGTCGGTTACAGTCCGTATAATTATTGTATGAGTATGTTCAATGAAGGAAAATGGAAACTGCTTTCCATCGCTCTGTGAATAATGCTATTGCGTACCGACAATAGAAACACGGCTGTTACTATATAAGCACTAGCTACAGCGATTACATACATTTCCTAAAAATATTAATAATGACATTGACCTTGATGGCAGAATACTGATACGGAAACTCGTTTGTCGTCGCCGTATTGTCATATCTAAGACTTGTATGACGATTTCCGAAAATCAATTGGAAGATAAAGTGATAAAAAACGAGAATTTGCAAATAATAGCAAGTTTAGTAACAGTGACCTTAATATTCACCGAAGCATCATGAAAAGCAAACTTGCTTGAGGCATTCCTATACGTATCAAGTGTGTGAAGTCTTATGAAATTCGTTAGAAAATAAAGTGCACTAGAGCGATGATAATAGGTGAACATACGTACGTATATACGACTAAAAAAATTATATCCTCTTTGAGCAAATTCATCGCGACGGGATAACAGTAACTCAACCCAATCTAGAGAAACCAGTGGATTAGTTGCAAGAGTAAATGTCTGTGAATTTTAGTTTTACATTTAGTTTGCATGCAAAAAAAGCGATTTAGGATGTTGATGAAGTCAACCGCGGACGAGCAAATATTACAAATCGATTACAATAATAATTTCAATAATGAATTATTTCCCACGGAATGTAAGGCAATTGGTTCATACAGTACAACGGGTTATACAGTGAAGCATATCCAAGTATTAGCAATCCAACATAAAAAAATACGCGTATTATATTCTGTTACGACACAATAAGCTATAACTTACCCAGAGATAGGATGATAAACTCAATTCTATACTCAACCACATATGCGTAGTCATACTGTGGCGGCAAAGAAGTGGAATTCTCCATGGCATGAAGCTTGAGGTGATACACGTGGGCAGGTGCCGTTACGTTTACCGCTTCATCTTTACTTACGGTACCACACATGCCATTGTCAGTGATAATTGATAAACAACAATGGATTCGAATATATATTTACTGTGCAGTATAAATCGCAAACAAACTGTATAAAACTGTAATAATAAGCAACAAATCAGTAAACATAAGAGCATATTGAGTAAGTACGTGAACTCCTCGTTTTCACGGTAGGAAATGGCTTCCAATTGGTTGTTTCGTGCTCCACTGTGATTGGTCATAACAAAAACAATGCCTAAAATTTGTTAAATCAATAACTTATGTTATATAGTATGAAGTGACGCATACAATAAATGCTTTTGCTGTAATGCTTGATCAATAAACGTGCAAATAAAACATTCATCAATACGCGGCAATGCACGTTTCTGGATCACACGTTTTTAGTGTAACTTTCCTATAGCAGCGCCTCTAGTAGTAGGTATTATCAAAAGACGTCTACTAATTTGGATGCACACAGGTGTGTCTATCTATTGCTAAGCCATAGGGCTGCAATGTGAAGCTCATAATTGAGAAAAAGACAATGGCTCGCATATCAGACTGGAATCCACATGATTCGAGTACGAAAAATTAAGCCTTGACAAAATGAAAGCCCTTTAATCCCTCTCACTTGTTGTAAAGTTATAGAGAAGGTCTGTAATTTGCAGTTATATATCCACCTATACCTGATTCTTTGCCGTCACTAATAATATACGGTATAAATGCACTTTTTGCGTGAGCTAATCATTAAAAGCAAATATAAAGATATATTAAATAATTATGCTCGTTCCCCTATGTAATCAAATCACAGACAGAGGGCGCCCTCTGTCGCCGATATAACAGTCAGTACACTATCTGGCTACGTTAGTGTGTCAGTGCATACGCAAACGCAATATCTCACCAGAGGAGTTATATTTTGTGATGAATATGCATTTAATATGGTTAGGGGGTATCCCAGCATAGATTTATGTAATAAATTATTATCAGTAGACCTATCTTTATAATTAGGAGAGCGCCCTAGCCTGAAGGGTGCAAAACTCCTACTTCATCCCCTCCCGTCACCCCTCTTGCCTTACTTAATTGTCCCTCGCTCAGCCTCTTTCTTCTTCTATCGCCTTCAGCTATTTTCCTTGCCGCTTTTCCTCAGTCTCCCACCCCTCTCTCCTGCAGCAAGCTATATTATGGAGTTTGCTTCAGTCCATACCGCACGCCTGAAAGGGTGCTCGCGCATGCGCAATATCTCCCGAGAAGAAGAATATTATGCGAAAATTATACATTTAAAATAGAGAGGAGTTGTCCCAGCACATATTCATATAATAACATTCCATCAGTAGACCGCTCCTAATAAATAGAAAGAAGACCTTGCATGTAAGTTGCCCACTACATATACCAGTCAGTACACAATTTGGCTACCTTAAGCCCGGCGCACACGTGGCGATTTTTATCGCTAGTACCGGCGATTCTGTTGCCGGCGACAAAATCGCCGAGAAATCGCCACGTGTGCGCTTCTTTAACTACGAGTTTCGCGCGTGATCAACATACACGTATAGGAGGCATGCAACAGTAAGCCTCCGCAATTGTTCACCGTTGCACTATTTCGTCTCTACGCATAACCGCATGCAGCGAACCTTAATTTCCATTGATTTCTGTGTTTTGTATTGTATTGTAGAGAGAGAGAGAGAGAGAGAGAAAGAAAGAGACTGAGACTGAGACAGAGAGAGAGAGAGAGAGAGAGAGAGAGAGAGAGAGAGAGAGAGCGAGAGAAAGAGCGAGGGGCGCGAGAGTGAGAAAGAGGGTGAGAGAGAGAGACAGATTGAGAGAGAGAGAGAGAGAGACATGGCGTGAGTGAGAAAGAAAGAGAAAGTTGGGGTAGTTAAGATTGCAGTTGGACATATTAACGAGCTGTTCGGAATCATAAAAACGTCCCAATTAAGCGGCGGTCCCGATTAAGCGATGGACACGTAGCAACGTGCGTAAGAATTGTATTTTAAAGACATATGTCGTCTAAGCGATACGCCCGTTTACCCGAGGCCCGATAAGACGCCACCACTGTATTATTGATTACTTGACGACATCTGTCTTGAAAAACAATCCTTACGCACGTTGTTACGTGTTCACCGCTTAATCGGGACCACCGTTTAATCGGGACATTTCCGTGATTCTGAACAGCTCGCTAATATATCCAGTTGTGATCTGAACTCCCCCATCTTTATCTTTATTTTCTTGCCGCTACCTGCCCATCATCCGCCGCCACGTAAGCCACGTTGCCGCAGCAGTCGGTGCCGCCGTCCTTCGGCCACGTCTTTCCATCGCAGCACGTCTTCTCGTTGCTACGATACGCATCCCTGCCGCAGCAGGCGTCGCCGCCGCGCTTGCTGTGTATGCGCTTGCTGCAGCAGATCTGGGTGCGCTTGTCATAGAAGCGGCGGGAGCCACACTTGTAGGCGCGCACGCCGTGGGGTCGGCTGCCGTGCGACCAGCGGTGACCGGGGTACGTCGCTGGGAGTGCGCATGCGCGGGAGAATAGTTAACACGCACGCATGCAGACGCGCACGCGCACGCACACACATACACGTGAACGCACGCACGCGCACGCACGCACGCACGCACGCACACGTACACACACGCACACGCACGTACGCCCTCAAGCACGCACACGTTGTACACTCAAGCACACACATACGCACGTACACCTACACGCATACGTTGTACACACACACGCACGCACACGTACTCACTCAAGCACACACACGCGCACGTACACCTACACGCACACACACACACGCACGCACACGTACGCGCGCACCCACACGCACACACGCACACGCGCACGCATACACGCATATACAGACACAGATATGATATAATATGATTTGATATATATGATCTCATATGCAACTGCTCGTAGATATAGATAGTTATGGCGATTACATTTATAAATTATGTATTTTCTTCTACGTCAACCATATATTTAGTTAATAATAATAATAATGTTAATAATAATATAAATACTAATAATAATAGCGTGACTCACCGTGCGCGCATGCAACGACGACTATCGCCACTAGAAGAATTCTGCTTGCGAACGACATCGTTTACTCGTCAGTATACTTTCACATGTGCTCAGGTCGAGAATTTGGCGCGAAACCTCGCACTCGTCGTCATCATGCCTTATATCCGACTCGTAAATTCGGGTCATCCAATCCGATGACGTGACACCACGTCAACAAGGTCACCGGTTGTTGACGAAAGTCGTCCTGCGCGACGTTTCCGCTGCTGGTAGTCTATTAGTATCCCGCTGCTGCGGGCACCCGCGTCGCACCGCACCGACGCAACATAACATCCGCTGCGACCACAGATCGCTCTGTCTGTTGGCAATTATGTATGTATCATGCCGATATTTCGTGGGTGCGGGTGCTTGCCCGTGTGTATGTGCGCATGTTTTTATATAGGCCAATAGATGCGCAACGCAGAAAATAGCTAGTTAGCTATCCACCCATCCATCCATCCATCCATCTGTCCATCTATCCACCAATCCATTCATCCATCCATCCATCCACCCATCCATCCGTCCGTCCGTCCGTCCGGCCGTCCGTCCGTCCGTCCGTCCGTCCGTTCGTCCCGTCCGTCCGTCCGTCCGTCCGTCCGTCCAACCACCCGTCCACCCACCCGTCCATCCATCCATCCATCCATCCATCCATCCATCCATCCATCCATCCATCCATC